TAGCTTATTTGAGCCATTAGAGCAGATCAAAAAGAAAATACTAAATTTATTGTAGGAAAAAAAAGATTATTGAGTATGATAATGGGCAACTCCTGAAGAACTCGTATAATGTGGATCAGAAAAGTGAAAGATATTGAACTCTTTTTCTGACTCTTGCTTGTGATTTCTTAGAAGTACTATACAATGACTCTTTGTCTGTAGGCTGCTATTAATTGGAAACAAATTCTATCCTGAAGGTTTTATTCCTATCTGTACTTGGAGAGTTCATATTTCATATTGAATTTTAAAAGCAGATTAACAATAACAAACCCCTCAACTCCTATATTCAGCACTTTGGGATCTCATTCTGTGTTGTGGCCTTTCTTTCAGTCTTAATTTTTTTTCAGAAATAAATTTCTCTGAATAAGGCATGACCATAGAAATCAGCTCTTTTAAGCTTATGTCTCTTTGCTGGCAAGGCAAGTTTATTGCAGTCATAAACCTACCTTGTAACATTTTAAAATAAAAATAAATGTAGAAAAGCACTTTGGCATTATGCAATAATTTGTCTTTTGGCTTATTAGCATTTTATTGAAGTAAATGTAACATATAAGTTACATATAAATACTGTTTCTAAGAGGGGTCTCTCTTGATATGGCTGTGACAACCCATATGTTCTTCTCCCCTCCCCCCATTTTTTCATGTTGTATCATAAATAGAATTATACCAAGTGGGCTCTTTTCCTTCCATGAAAGCTTTTGGGGATTTACTATATCATGGTGTTCTTCAGTCAGCATGTTCCTTTCAGCTTCTGACATCTTTGCTGTTTCAGTCAGTTTAAAAATTGCAACAAAACTTTATGAATCCTTCTGTCATGAGAGATTAGGTGCGTATTGTCTTGCCTTTTGCAAGGTCCACAAAGAATGTGTAGATGTGACAAGAGAAGTTTGAAAATTGGCATGTTTGAAGTGTGCAGGGTAGGCCACACAGGTTTCCTGTCATACTGTCAATGTCAGGAAAAATATTCTCAAGTCCATCACTGCAAATGAGAACCAGGAGTCTTATCAAGCAGGAGAGTTTGAGTCCATATTGTTGCAACTCAAATTGAAAACCATCTTAATTCTTATAGATCCACACCAATAACCATCTTCTCTGTTGAGCCCCACTAGCCTTTCTTGGTTTTGGAGAGATTTTTTTGTTTGGTTTTGCTCTGTTAGTACTATTTCTGAAGCTACAAGCTTTTCTATATGGGTATTTTGGTCCAGGTGACCAAAACATGACCTTTTACACCAAAGTACCAACTGATTTGCTGCTAAGTGTTTGCCTCTGTAAAGGGAAGAAGAATGCAGTTCCATCAGGTGCACAGGAAGACTGAAAAATGAAGGCACTGCTGAGCACAGATGTGTTGGGGGTGCCTCAGTAATCCTCCCAAACATCCTGGCCAGCTAATTATAGCAGCTGAGATGTCTCAAAGCATGGCATAGTAACAAGCAGTAACACCTGTCTGGGTGGGCTGGCTGCAGATAAACCTTGTATTCTTGCTGGTGTTCTCTCTCTCTTTCTGAATCCCTTGCCTGTTTTTAATCCTTCTGTAGTTTAAACACCTGTCTGTCTGGAATGTGTGAAATGTCACTATTACCCATGCTAAGCTATTTGCTCATCTGCTTAAAAAGAGTTTTTAAATAAGCGATGACACATTGATACAATCATAATTAAAGAGGAAAGCATGTCACAGTAATAGAGTAGGATTGAGGTCATAATTCATCAGACTAAATGATTCTTGGTATCAAGATAATGAGGAGAGAAAATTGGATGAAGTCATTTTCATTTCACACATTGGATGTGTTAGCAAAGTTATGATTGCTGTTGCTGACAAGCTAAGAATTGTATATAACCTGTTTTATTTACCATGTTGCCTTCTGTGTTTGCATCATTTACCATTCTTCCTTCATTTCAGACAATAAATTCTTTGTGACCAGCAACTGTCATTGTTAGGTATTTGTATAGTGCCTGGCACAATCAGAACTAAATCTAATTTGAAGCTTTCTGTTACTGCAATGAAGATGCTTTAAATTTTAATTAATTTCTACAGAACACAGCAACGTTAAGGGTGAGGTAGAGGCACCAAAATGTCACCTAATATTGTTTTCTGTATAAGGTCGATAACACTACCCATAGCTTGCCTGATAATGCCCCACTGAAGTTCTTGTCTTTAAATTGCTTACAGTGATCTGAAACTTTATTTATTTGAATTAATTTTTTCTGTGCTTATTGTTCAATTTTCAGAACACTTCAGGCAAGGTGAGGTATTGTAGTCAAAACCAAGGCTGGATTAAAAAATATTTTGTGCATTTTAATATCTGTGGAACTTTGCTTTCAAATCTCTTCATCTCCCATGCTTTGAAATAGCAATTTGGAATTCAGAATTTTGTTGAAGCTTGATTGCAGAGTAACTATTGAAAAAGCTTCAAGTGTAATGCACTCAGGAAGACCTGCTAGACCTTCTCGGCTTCCTGAAGCTTCCCTCCACACTGAAAATGTTGAACTGAATTTCTCTGTATTTGCACCTCTAAAATGTACTTTGGCTCGAGCTTCTGTTCTCCTGTGTTTTCAGTAACCTGGTCCATGCTGGACAGAGGACCTGTCTGACTTGACTGCAGAATTAGTAGGAGTTCTGCCAGGTATGGAGAACAGCTAGGATATGGAGGCTGTGAAATTTCTATCTGGACATAATTTAGGAGAGGACACTGAGAGCCATTCAGACAGAAGAACAGAAATGGATGGAGTGATAGTGTGGTAAATGTGGCCCAGTGAGCAGCCCACATTCAAGGACGGGATGAACAAAGAGGTTGGCAAAAGGAGTGGACTGGGGAGGGGAATAAAACCAGAGCTACTAGCATAGAAGACGTGTGAGAAACCAAGAATGGAAGTTTGGAAAGACAGATCAAGTGGATTTCCACTCCTGTGGAAAGTTCCAGACCTGAAATAATGTGAGTCAGGGTCCAGATGTAGTGAGGAAGCTAGTGCTGGAGGTCTGTAAGAATGAAACTGTACTGAGGAAAACAAGGAGAATGACAGCTGAAATGCAGAAGCTGAGACTGACTCTGTGATAATAATGACACAGATGAGGAGCAAGGATGGGAAAGGATAGACCTGAGAAGGGGTGAGGTAAAAGTGGCTGCTTTTGGAGAAGTGGGCAGAATCCTAGGTATAGCCACTAGAATTTAATCCTTTCCAGAACTTGAAGTAGGAGTTCTGAACCTACAACATGCTTAGGTCTCTTGTACTGCTAAAACACATGGAGGGGCTACCTGCTGTGTAGTCCATGGTAATATTTGTGGTCCAGAGTTCTGTGAGAGGACTGTCTGTAGTCCTGAACAAGCCCATTTTAAGTATGAGTATATTGTATTGCAGTGAAGGTGGTTTGTACTTGTTAGCGTTCAAAAACACACAATCACGTAGGGATTATATGCGGTGCTTTTTATTAAAGAGCTCTGGGAATCGGGGTATTACCCAAATCTGATTCTGACCATACATCTGAAATGATCATGTTTTATACTCTATCATTATGTAACTTTCATGTTATTTATTAAACTTATATTGTTCTATTGTATATGTAGATTTAGCCCCCCTCTGAATTTCCAACATAGTTTCTCATTATTCTTCTTATGGTTATATAATGATTATATTTAATTACTAAACAATCATCATATCTAACATTTATATAATTTATCATACTGCTTACGCAGGTGCAGTTGATCTGAGAAAGCACAAAGCTTAACATTTTAGATTCTATCTTTAACTTTTTCCAGGGCTCCACTATCATACTTGTTTGAGTAATTGCACACCAATTCTGTTAGGAGAGCATTGTTAAACTATGCTTAAGTCACACTTGAAATGTCTTAATAAGCATCCCCTTTGAGATCTGGAGCAGGTGCAGGGCTAGTTGTTAGACTCTCTGTGTCCTGTGTTTCATTGGACACATGCCTTCCAATTGCTACAGAAGTGAGGAGGGCCAATACAGGTTCACCTGACTATGATCCTAGGCATTGTGCAGGCCCTGATGTTTCTGCTGTTCCCAAAAAATAGCATGTGTTCATGTAATTTGAAGTAGTTGTATGTCAGAGCCTGACTGGGAGGCCTTTGCAAAGCTGGCTTTTCAACTTTTCTATTGTTTTGTTACCTTTTTTTTTTTAAATGTAAACTGTTATACTGCTGTAGTAGATCCATTGCATTATGTATTTCTTCAGTACATCAACAGATAGTGTCTACATGCAGAGTTTGATCTTTCAAGAGTATAAGCAGCACAGGAGGAATGCTCGTAGAAAGAAACAATGGAATACATGTTATATGCTTAAAAACTTCCAGGTTTTAGAGCTTGATATTGCAAATATACACCTAATGTGATTTTTGTGCATTTACTTGTGTGAACATGGTATTTGTATGTGGTTGTGTGAGTAGTTTCTTTAATGTTTGGTTGAGTTTTGGTTTGAATTTTATATCCAAGATACTTATGCTTTGGGTTATGCCTGTATGTTTGTATCAAGAGGGGTAGAGACATGACAGGTGTGCGTGGTTGGCTTATACTGACACAGCTCACCCTGACTGGAGAGGCACTCTGGTTCTTTGCTCAGTGTAATATAAGCTTCTCACTTTTGATCCATGCATGTGGAGTTCATTTTTCACATGGCAGGAACTTTCGTACTTTGGGATTTTTGCCCCATCTTTGTCCTTTTCCTCCTCTGTTCTTCTGTGGAAGGAAGGGTTGTAATTATCATGCTGGCCCCTGAATTCATCTCAGGCACGGTGGATGTTGGTGTCATTGCTCACTGCTTTGTGCAACTAGCACAGTGCTTTTGCATTTGAGTATTTCCATATTCTAGCAATTTCACTTCTTGTAGTACATACTCTATCCCATTTACTTAGTGATACTTTTTCCCCTTTTCTTAGCTTTTAATTGTCTCTGATAGTTTGTTTGGGTTTGTTTTTGTTTTGTTTCTTTTTTTTTTTTGCCTCCTTAGTTAACAAACCTGGACTTGGCAAGTGGAGCTATAAGCAAGGGAAATGCAGCTGCCCCACAGAGCTACTGGTCACCACTCAAAAAAAGAGGGTCACTGTGGCCTGTTCAGTCAGACACTCATAGAGATGACAAAAGATCTGTCTCTTCAGCAGTCAGGTAAGTTAAAATTGCTGCTCTAGCTTTTTGGAGAAGAATGCAACGCACTGCACTCATTGGTCATTTGTAATTTGTGTTTGGCTTCTTGCTCAGATGCAGGGGTGTGTCCAGAGAAGGGCAGCAGAGCTGGTGAAGGGTTGGGAGCCCAAGTCTTATGTGCAGCAGCTGAGGGAGCTGCTTAAGGGAGGTTGTTTATCCTGGAGAAAAGGAGTCTTGTGGAGCGGGGGGCACAATATTGCTCTGTACAACTCCTTCCAAGGAAGTTGAAGCAAGGTGTGTGTTGGTCTCTTCTCCTAAGTAACGAACTATAGGACATGAGGAAATGACCTCAAGTTCCATCAGGGGAAGTTTAGATTAGATATTAGGAAAAATTTATTCACCAAAAGGATTCTAAAGTATTGGAACAGGCCACCTAGGGAGGTGGTGGAGTCACCTGAGGGTTTTTAATACATGTGTAGATGTGGTACTTAGGGATGTGTTTTAATGGTGGATTTGGTAATGTTAAGGTTAACAGCTGGACTTGAGGATCTTAAAAGGAGGATCCTTTCCAGCATTAAACAATTCTGTTTCTTAGGGCTTAGTAATGATTTCTCTCAGGTCTAAAAACTAGCCCTGTGAAAATAGCTGTGTTCCCAGAACTGTCATGTTCGTGGTGAAATAAGGGCATAAATGAACATGGTGTATGAGAAGGAAATGTCTGTTTTTCCTTGATGATTTCCCATCCCTGTATCTGTAAGTTTAGGTTTGCTGGCATTGAGACATATATGCAGAATGCAAACTTAGACCTTAAAACATCTTTATGCTTTTTCCTTGAATATCAAGTGTAGATTGTTCAAAGATAGAGCAGTGTTTATCAGAGTTTCTTTTTCGGATCTCTTCTTTATACCTTATATTAATTTTGGGCACTGGAATTTGCAATTATGGCTTATACACTCCTGGCAATCAGGGCAGAGGACTGATTCTATGGTAAAACTATTTTCCCTGTGATTCAAAGAGCAGCAAGTTTTACTTTCAGGAGTCTGAATCTTGGAAGCTAGGAACAAGGCAAATTTGCTGCAGTAACCAGGCAGGAGTACAGGCTCAGGACTGCTGGAGATTTGAGTTTTTCCTTTGCCATTCCAGTAAATAATATTGAGTCCTGAGCCTGTATTCCTAGGTGTTCATTTTTGTCTTCTAAAACCAGATAATAAAGCAGAGCTTCTCCAAGGCATGAATTTAGGTCTGGAAAGCACTATGTACATGAAAAAACTGATTTTTATCACTGGTGCCTGAATGCTACTGGAAGATGGAGAGAAGTGATAGAGGGAGAAACACAGTGCAGAAGGCATGTGATCTGAGTGGTGATCCTTTCCCAAATGGGTCCTTCAATAGAAAGATTGTAATGGGATTTGGAAAGCTCAAGTAAAATTGTTCTTATTTCATCAGTCACTACTTTTCATCCTGCCTCAAGAAGAGGAATGTGAGAAATGAATTCCTGGCCTGTTTCTGTTCCAGCACAATGTTTGCCTCAGGGGTTTAAAGTTATTGAGAGAAGTGGTGGTGATTCTGCTCTTGGACCCCATCCAGGCAAGCTATTACCTAGTCCAAATACAGAACCTATCCAACAGGTGTAAATTGCCTTCCCCTCCTATGTGCCTTGGAAGAGGAGCAGCATGCAAGCTGTCCTAGAGCTTTCATTGCCTTTTCAGCTGTTTGCATCTTTGCATGGGCTCACAGACAGAGCTGCAAACCCCACCACTAATGCCCAGGACTGCACTCTGAATGACATCCAGGGCGGTGCCTCATCTAGCATTGTGTGCTTAGTTTAATTGTGCCTTTAGTTAGAGTTTGTTTTATTTTGTACAGCAATCTGAAAATACTTCAGAATTTTCCAGTCACAACTGATAGAAGATTCCATCTTCAAACCTTTTATGAGTCATTTAGTCTTTCATTACTTCAGTTGCTCTGTTTTCTATCCTCAGAACAAGAGTCAGAAAGATGCCTTAAGACTCTCTATTGAATTATCTTAATGGCTGCTTTTATTGAATGGCCAAAATACTGAGAGTTAAGAGTTTTGTGTAAATCTGGAAATGGAAAAAAAATTCTTGAGGCAGTGCTGGATTACTTGGTGTGTGAGCTTCTGTTTAATGAGAGAATTCCAAAAGGAATATCAAGGCCATGGTGTATGGGGATGACTATCTTGTATTGTAAATGCTTTTTTTGCTGCTTGATTTGTTACATTGGAGCAAGCAATTCATAGAGGGTCATCTGATGGGTGTCAGCCTGTGCTCAGCACGGGATGACTGAAGAAAAGCTTCCTGTTTTGAGATTGAGATTCTTGTCTATGGGTTGCAGAATCCAGCAAGGATGGAATTGTTCTGTGAATGGGTCTCTTATCTGGCTTGCACTTAACTCCAGGTCAAGCATCTGTCTCTGAAGTGCAGTCCCCACTCGGTTTTTGAATGGCTCTGTGCTGCTGAAGTTGGTTAGAAGATGTTCGCGAAGCTGTAGGATTCAGGCTACTCTTTTAGACAAATCATCTTCCCCTTTGATTCCACTCTCACAGTAGTGGCTTACCTAAATGTATCTCAAAAGAAGTTATTCTTTCTTTTGTTGATTCCTTTCCGTTGCATGAGATAAGGTGCTGAGCTAGTAGTCTGCTTGCCAAGAGGCAAAGGAGGTCTTGGGTTTGCAATACAGAGACAGAGGGCAGTTCTAGGTATGTTAAAATGTTGTTTTATACATCTGCACTGCTGTGCATTTTGAGGGGTTTTTTTGCCACTTTCCATAATCATTGGCACTGTTTCCACTCAAATGATGGCCTAGCCTGTTGCTGCACCTCAGACAAAGAAGCCTGCAGGCCTGCACAAGTGAAATATTCCAAATTGTATGTGGCCTTACTTCTGACTACTGTGATGGGACTGTCAGCCTCTGCCATGTTTGCTGCATACCTGCCTTGTTGCCCTCTGTATATCAATGAAATTATGCCAAATCTAGAGCTGCTCTTGAAAAAGCATTCTTGGTTTCATAATAAAGGTAAAAACTCAGGTGTTTGACAGAATGAAACTTGTTGATTCAGAACATAAACTGGCTTTGAAGTATCTGTTAGCAAATAGCTGTGTAATCCCAAGTTGTGAGGACAGTAGATGGAGATTAGTGGAGGTTTCTGGCTTTGGAATTTGCAGCTGCTGTTCCACTTGTATTTGAAAAAGACAATGGATTTTGTCTCCAAGAATTACTTGGGCTCTGCAGGTCACAAAATCTTTAAGACCTGGACCAAAACTAACAAGAAAGATTTCTTTCTAGCTGGTACAGATTTCTGTGTTTTCAGTGGGCACCTTGTATTCAGCAGCAACCATCCTTGCTCGTGTTCATCTCATAGGGGCAGTAAATTGGCAAGAATTCAGCAGTGAAATGGTCAGTGTGTTCTCAGATCTGTTTTATTAGCTTCCTGCTCATTCATAACATCTATCCCAAACCTGAAGGCTGACCTCACACTTCCAAACTGCTCAGCATATTTTTTTCCTTGGATTTTCTGACAGACTTATCTAATTTGGTTAGGGCAGGCAGGCAAGCTTCCTTGTCATCTGTCAGAGGGTAGAATGGCAGTTGAATTTATATTACAGGGCCTGTGAAGGGCCACTGCAGTCAGAGGAAAGGGATTCTCCTCTTTTCCTTGCTTGACATGTCCGAAATACTTTTTAGCTCATAATTTTTGCCAAGGTGCTCAGGTTCATCAAGAAATGTTTTGTTGGTAGACTTGTCTAATCTGGTTTAAATTTGTATAAACACATGTTTTTTCAATTTGCCGATGTAAGGAGGTTTTAAATATCATTTACTCGGGTATCACTCTCGGTGGTAGTAATAGCAGCGACTCTCAGGGCCTCACAGGGTAGGTGCATGTACACGTACTTGCTGTATGTCCAGGTTCCCAAACAATCTCTGCTTTGGCTATTTTTGTTTTTATTTTTCCTTCCTAGAAATATAGAATAGGTGGAAAACCAGAAAATGCTGTTTAGACTTTTATCATCTCAGATGCTTCTGGGTTGCATTGCATATATTTACTGCTCATGTACAGATCAACAATGTAGGTGCAGGAAATCCAGTACTACTTAAAAAGCTTCCTGTGCCTGCTCTAATAGAAAATATGTATCAATTTACATCCCAAAAATTCTACAGCAAAATGATTGTACACTTGGCTCACTTGCACATTCCAGTTGACAAAAACAGTCTCCTAAATCAGGACCTTCCTTTCAATTGCTGGCCTTCCTTTACCTTGGCTGGGTAGTGGGTACTTTCTATTCTGATTCCCCACCTAGTGCCTGCTGTTGCTTCATGCCAGTTTCTTTTACTGCTAGGGCCACATGTACTATGTGTTCTAGGTTTGAGATGCTCTGATCACACCCAGTATATATCCTCTGGACTTATGAGGAAGAATCCCAGGTCTCTTTGGAGGGTTTTCTCTGAGCTGGTATATTTGGCTTCTGTAGTTTCACTGAATCTTTGAGTTTTGTCAGAAAGACCCCAGACAGCAATCAGCAGCTGATTGTGGTTCACTGGTCTCAGTCCTTTGTGTCAGAGGGGCAGCTGGCTGTGTTTGACATGCAGGGAAGGTGGAAGTGGCTTTGTTGTTTCCTTAGTTTTTATTTTAAATTTTGGAGCTGTGGAATGTGAAATAAAAAATTGTCCTTGGACCCTGACTAGACAGGCTCTGAAGAGCAATAAGAAAAGGGAGATTGAAATAGACAAAAGAGGTGCAGGGTGATTCTTACAAGGATAGAAGGGTGAGCACTTGGTGGGACAGTCTTGCTTTTTTGCAAGACTCTTGAGCTAGACTAGGGTGGGCTTAGCATGGCAGAAGCAGCATGGGTGTTGCAGTTGAGGCTGTGGGAGACGGTTAATTATGTATGGGCTTGCAGCTAGAAGTAAGGACAAGAGAATTTCCTGGGATGTTGGCAGCTTGCACCAAGTTTTTATAAGAATAAATATCTTCTCTATGTAACATATGTGTTGCTTTGTAG